TTAAGGGGCCTCTGGGGCAATGTCAAGCATAACAACATTCACAACATTCACATCCAGAAGGAGAAGAGAGAAAGCAAGGAATTAAGAACCTATTTGAAGAAAATGAAAAATTTCATAACCTGGCAAAGGAAATAGATATACAAGTCCAGGAAGCACAGGGTCGCAAACAAGATGAACCCAAACAGGCCCACACCAAGACACGTTAGAATTAAAACGGCAAAGGTTAAAGACAAAGAGAGAATCCTAAAAGCAGCAAGAGAAAGGCAACTAGTAACTTATAAGGGAGCTCCCATAAGACTGTCAGCTGATTTCTCAACAGAAACTTTGCAAGCCAGAAGGGATTGACACAAGATATTCGATATGATGAAAAGCTAGGACCTACAACCAAGGGTACTTTATCCATCAAGGCTATCATTTAAAATCAAAGGACAGATAGAGCTTCCCAAACAAGAAAAAGCGAACGGAGTTCATCACCACCAAACCAGTATTACAAGAAAAGTTCAAGGAACTTCAAGATGAAAAAAAAAAAAAAGATAAAAATTATGAACAAGAAAATGAAATAGCTACATATCTACCAACAATTACTTTCAATGTAAATAGATTAAATACTCCAATCAAAAGACATAGGAGGGCTGAATGGATAAGAAAACACAATTCTTACATATGCTGCCTACAAAAGACTCACTTCAGATTGAAAGTCACACACAGATGGAAAGTAAAGGGATGGAAAAAGATATGTCATGAAAACGGAAATAAAAAATAACAAAAAAATCTGGAGTAGCAATACTTACACCAGATAAAATAGACTTAAAAACAAAGGCTATAACAGACAAAGAGGGACCCAATAATCACACTTCTGGATATTTATCCAAAGAAATCCATAATGCTACTTTGAGGGGACGTGTGCATCCATGTGTTATTTGCAACATTGTTTGATGTGGAGGCAGCCTGGGTGTCCGTCGATGGATGAATGGATAAAGAGTAGGAGGTACATATATACAACAGAATATTGCTCGGACATGGAAGGGAATGGGTTTTTGCCATCTGTGGCGGCATGGATGGAACTGGAGGGTATTGTGCTGAGTAGAGTGTCAGACAGAGAAAGACAGATGCAATGTGATTCACTTATATATGGAATCTAGAGAAAATAAAAAAACAAACAAAACAAACTCATAGATACAGAGAACATTTTGATGGTTGCCAGATGAGGCGGGGTTTGGGGGTAGCTAAAAAAGAGTAACAAATTAATAGAAATACAAATTGGTTGTTACAAAATAGTTATGGGAATGTAGGGTATAGCATAAGGAATATAGTCAATAATGTAATAATAATTATGTATGGTGTCAGATGAGTACTACATTTGTTGGGGTGATAAATGGGAAGGGAGCTCAGGGGCTGGGTGAAGAAGGAAAAGGAATTAAGAAATATAAATTGGTAGTTACAAAATAGTCATGGGGATGTAAAGTAAAGCACAGGGAATATAGTCAATGATATGGTAACAACTATGTATAGTGCTAGGTGGATACTAGGCTAGTCAGGGGGATCACTTCTTAAATTATACAAATGTCTAACCACTATGCTGTACACCTGAAATTTTTTAAATAATATGGAATGTCAACTCTAATTGAAGAATGTTAAAAGATGGGAAAAGGTAAAGGGGAATAAGAGGTCCAAATTTCCAGGTATAAAATAAATAAGTCATGGGGATGTAATATACAGTATAGAGTCAATAATATTGTGATAAGGTGGTATGATGTCAGATGTTTGCAGGACTTATGATGATCGATTCTTTAGGTATATAAATGTTGAACTATGGTGTACCTGAAACTGATATAATTCTCTACGTTAGATATATTTTTAATAAAAATCTTTAAAAGGGATGACTGGTTAGCTCAGTTAGAGTGTCACGCTGATAACACCAAGGGTGCCAGTTTGATCCCCGCATGGGCCACTATGAGCTGCGCCCTCCTTAAAAGAGTCAATTATGCCATTGTAGCATGAAAGCAATGTGTAACCAATGACCGTGGCTGTTCCCCAATAAAATTTTTTTAAAAATAAAATCTTTAAAAAAAGAAAAAAGAATGAATCCTAAACTCTGAGCTAACATCAAACAAGATTAAACAGGGACGGACACAGGCTTCCAAGCAGCCCTGTTTCAGCGTTGTCACTACTTATGTCCCAGGACCTGTGTCATGTCCTTCACTGTGCCTGAGAGGAAAGCAGGCCACAGGGTTGCTGACACAGAGCAAAGAGCAAAGACAAAGATGCTGTAAGTTTTAGAATTCAGGTCTGTGTTTCTTGTCTGTGTCCAAGAGTCAAATTTCCCTGAGTTCAGCAGTGGGAGCTGAATTTCTCCACCCTCCCGGCACTTTTCTGAAATGTCACACCAGTAAGAACAAAGGACAACCAAGAGTACACTATCCGCGGATTTGGCCTATGCTAGAACTAAGGCCCAGGGGCTGGCCACAGGTCTGTCCCCACAATCCCACAAGTTTTAGGTAATTGCTGTAACCTAAAGTGAGACTTACATTTATAAAATTGCACAGGGAGAAGGCTATTGTGTACGTGACTGTTGTGTAAAGCAAGATGACCTCTGCCCAGGTGCACTCAGACATCCCTCAGCAGGGGGTCTGAAGTGAGCCGGTCCACCTGGGGAAGGGCCTGCGCTGGTGACCTCCCTCACTGACCCCCACCAGCAAATCCCAACTATTGTTCACTCCGATTCAACTTGTAGGCGGCTTTACCCAACAGCTGTGGCTGACTCCTGCCACCAAAGGAGGGGGTCGCCAGACCCATCTGCTGCCCCCACCTGTCCTGCCCTCCTGCTGGGCTCCCCAGGCACACATTTCATCTGCTTTGTGGGGAGCAAAAAGGAGGTCTGAAAGGAAGGCTGAGGAGGGGCCTCAATCAAGCTCAAGTTTTCAGTTTTCCAATGTCAGCCTGGGCACCTGTGGACAACCGTGTTTCAGATCAGGCCTGCCAGCGCTCTGCAGACTGCAGGGGGGCACCAATTCCTCTGTCCATAAAGGTGTCCAGGAGACCAGGGAAGCAGCCTAGGCCTGTCCCACTGTCTTCAGTCCAATTCTGAGCCGCCCGACCTTTCGCTGTCTGCTGTATCTCCTTTCTCTCCTGGCTTTCCTTCTACCTCTCAAGCTATCCTTCTTCGTCTCATTTATGCGCTCTTTGTGTTCAACTAGACCCCAAAATGGCGGGACTTCATCCTTGGTCTTTTTCTCTTCTCACTCCTTAAACATCATCTACCACCCCTACTCACAGCTCCACACTTGTATTTCCAGGATAGAGCACCCTCCTGAGCTCCACACTGACATCCTCACCCTGACATCCCTGGGGCATTTCAAATTCAACATGTCCAAATCTGAACTCACCTCCCCATAAATCTGATCCTCCTTTCTAAGTCCTTCCTTTGGACTTAAAAAGTGGTATTACTGGGGCCGGCCAAGTGGCTCAGTTGGTTAAGAGCGTGAGCTCTGAGGGTCGCTGGTTTGATTCCCACATGGACCAGTGAGCTGTGACCGAGCTGAGATGCTGCTAAGCTGCCAACAGGTGGCAGGATGGTTCAGCTGATGAGAGCACATGCTCCTAACAAGGTTGCCAGTTCGACTCCCGCATAAGATGGTTGGGCTACACCCACCCGCAACTAAGATTGAACACGGCACCTTCAGTTTAGCGGCTGCGAGCTGCCGACAGGTGGCCAGATGGCGACTGGACTTGGAGCTGAGCTAGCTGCGCCCTCCACAACTCAGATTGAAGGACAACTTGGCTGTTCCCCTTTCCCAATTCCCCAATAAAATCTTTTTTTTTTAAGTGGTGTTACTATCCAATCACCCAATTTTCTAAGCCAGAAATATGGTCACAGTCTTTTTCTCCTCTAAGTCCTCACATCCAATCAGTCCATCAGTGGTGTTGATGACAACTCCAGTTCCATCCCTCCACCTTCACTGCTGCTGTCTTAGTTCAGGTCTGTGCTGAAGGACCTTACCTCTCTATCGCTCTCATCCTTCTAGCACATCCTCCACAGACTGTCACCCAATCTAGAAATCTGTACTGTTGACTCCTTCCTCATCAACTACACCGAGCTGGCCTCCAAGTCCTGTAAACTCTACCTCCCTGATATCTCTTGATAGCTATTCTCATTGCTAGAACCATGGTTCGAGCATCCCCATTTTCCTCATGTAACAGCCAGTACCTGGCTCTGCAGATCCAGCCCTATCCTTCAACTTGTCCTAAGACCTGCCTCTCTGAAGTGTACACCTCCCCTCCAGAGCTTCCATCTGGGCTGCCTGTTGCCTTCTGGGAAGAGGTCACACTCCCCAGCACAGCACTAAAGACCTAACTGGTCTTACCTGAGACCACCTCTCATGCTCCTACTTTGCCATGTTCCTTGGTCACTGTCCCTTCCAGCCATCTACCCCAAAGGACTGGGAGTTTCCTTGCTCTTCTGTCAGGTCATGTTCTATTGCTGTCACCACTAATATGTCAGTTCCATCACAGATTTCTGGGCCATAGTCATCGTAGGCTGAGAAGCCCGGAGTCTGGTGGAAAACAGAACAGAAAGTGTGGGGGAGACGAGACCCCTGTTTCAGCTCTATGTTTGGAGGATCCCATTTCCCCTAAATGTCTTTCCTGTGGCAATGCCAGATTAATGCAAAAAAAAAACACAAAAAACAATGATACACACACTGTCTCTAGTTCATCTAAGTTAGAATTCTACTTGTAACTAGTGCGGCTGGCCTGAGAGCTAGCCCAGGTGCAGGCTTTAGCTCACTGGTCACCCTGATGATGGACCAAGGAGCCAAGCTCTGATTTCATTCAACTCCAGATGGTGGAAATGAAAAAGAACCCTCGGGAGAGTTTGATACTTTCTTTCAAGGAGACAACAGCCATCATCTTGTGGATCTAGGATGCCAAAGGCACAACCAGCCCCAGAGTGATACCACCATCTATGGAGTAAACTTAAGCAAACATAACTCAAAGGATACATGCCCAGGATGACAGCTTCAAGGCATTTGATAGGCAAAGATTCTCGAGTCATTTCTTTCGCTGTTTCCATTAACCTGTAGGATAGAGCACAGCAAAGGATCTCAGAACTTATTTAAGGATACAGTTGGTCTGTCTGCCAATCCATCAGCATGCCTTTCTACACACTAAGCACCATGCAGGAATACAGAGGGAACGGGACGAACTCGCCTCGCAGGAGGGTGCCAAAGCACATCCACACTTGGCACAACCAAAATCCTAAATTCTCCACTCCTCTCTCCAAGAGCTAGTTCCTGGGTGGTAGTGCCCATATTCCAGCGCATCCTCCCATCACCCCAGGACGAGGGACACTAAGCAAGTAAAGGAGGCCACATGAGACATATTTCATAGGCCTCCCCTATCCCAAGTGAGTCTCCACCACTGAGCTTAGCTGTTAGAATGACCCAGATGGCAGCCCCTCCAGAGCTTACACCTCCAACATGACCCTAGGGCATCGCCTCCCATCTCCACCCCATACAGGTATTTGAGCACTGGGATGTAGGGATAAAGGGTGAGAGAAGGAATTGGCAGCTGTCAGGTAGGAGAGATGTCATCTGGCCCAAAGATCATGCACCACTTACCCACTTAGCGGTCTCATTTTCCTAATTTCAAAGAACTGGGTCCCTGTATGATTGTATCTGTGTGAAGCATGTAAAGGGAAAGTGACAGAAAACTCCAAAGGTCCCAGGAATCCAGCAGAGGAATGTATGCATTGATTTCTCAGTGGGAAGAGGAAGTGGGGGTTTTCCACGAGGTGTCCAGTAGCCAGAAGGTAGTCAACAGCCTCTAAGGCCTCACTGTCCTGTGGAACTCTTAACTTCCAACGTAGGCCCCAGAGCAACTTGGACCTTTATTATAGCTATTTTCAATCTGTTTTGTATTCTGGTTAGTTGAATACATGTCTCAATTCTCCTACTAGACTACAAGCTCTTTTTGAGAGTTGAGACCATTTATTTATCATCTTCATTTCACGCATAAAGCTTTGAACAAGCTCAACATATTCCAGTTAGCAAATACTATTAAATGAATGAGGAATAAGTGAATGGATGAGTGGACAGGTAGATGGATAAATGGATGGATGGGTAGAAAGGTGGATGGGTGAATGGATAGAAAAATAGGTGGAAGGAAGGAAGGAAGGAAGGAAGGAAGGAAGGAAGGAAGGAAGGAAGGAAGGAAGGAAGGGAGGAAATGGAATGGAACGGACGGAACGGGGATGGATAGAAGGGTGGATGAATGGCAACAGGGTTTCTCAGTAACACACAGATGCTGCAGCAGAGCTTGCTATGGAGATATCACTTTCATTTCATGCCTGGACTAGCACTTGACATTGATTACTAAGCCTGAGATGATGACATTATCCACACCCTGGGATTTAGCTGGTTGTCCAGCAGGTCTCAGGGACTGGCAAGGTTACACCAGGTCATCCTGTAGGAAACCAAAGATTCCCTGATGTCATGCTCTCTGAGGCTGGATCTTGATTATTCTGAGGCTAAACAATAGTTTATGTTTTGTACATTTCCGTATCCTACCTCAAACATAATCCTACAGAAAAAGTGCATACTGGGAAGGTGCTAATGAAGCATGAACTTGAAGGTGGAGTGGGTGTATGAGATTACACGGGTATCCCCTGCAGTGGTAGAGGTAGCTATAGAAGGTGGTTCTGACCCCCTAAAGACACTGCATGCCCTCCTGAGAAGGGTTTGGAGTCCTCTCCTGGCACAGACGTGCCAGGCCACTCAGACGTGAACATGAGTGTTTAACAGCCACCTGAGGAGCTCCTTATTAGCAGTTTCTAGGCTCCACCCCTAGAGACTCTGATCTCAGGCCATGGTTTTAACCCTAGGTGCCATTCAGAGTCACCCTATCTTGGACTGTCGAATTGGAAGTTCCAGGGTGAGAGGGGCAGGGGCCAATGTTAACAAGCTCACCAGAAGTTTGGAAAAGATGGCATGATCATAAGGATAACCAATAACAATACAGGCTTGTCCAGCTTTGAAAAAAAGCCAACATACAAAACCCTAGGGGTAAAAGAGAAAAATGAGGGGCCAACTATCCTCATTGCAAAGTGAGTTTGTTTGTTTTTTTTACTTTACCAAAGATTTCATTCACATAGTGAGATTCCCCGGACTGTGTATTTAAAGCAGAATTCAACTGGCAAAAATTCAATGTATATACCCAACTTTCCATATATATATATATAGATAGATAGATAGATAGATATAGATATAGATATAGATATAGATATAGAGAGAGAGAGAGGGGGAGAGAGAGAGAGAGAGAGTTTATACATCTAGTACATAAAGTGATATCTCAAACCTGCACTAATTTAAAGTTACCTGGCCGTCTTTTCTCAGCTCCTAACAGTTATTAGCCCTGAAATTGAGCTGGGAGGAAAGCTTCCTGTAAACATTGCCTTCAGAGTGAGAGACTCACTGAGCCCAAGTCCACCCTCAGAAGGCTTCTCCCAGGCAGCAGAGCTCAGGTGGCACCTCTTTTCCAGAACCCCATGCAAGACCAGCACCCCTGTTGGCCAACGCTCTGAGGCTGTCAGAAGGGAAGGCAGGGTTTGTCCTTTCATGTCCCTACGACCAGCTGAGCACATCAAGAGTCAGGGCTGGCCCCAAGTGGTCCCCGTACTCTAGCACGGGTCACTGTGTTCAGGACAAAGCCGTAGGAAGTCCCAAGTCACTCAATAGAGGTCTGGTCAGAAGGTAGAACGAGAGGCCACACTCTGCTTTCTTTGTGTAGTGGCTCTAATGACCAGGTGACAGGGAGCACGGTCCCAGCAGCCTGCTGACACTTTCCCTTCTCCAGCCCTCCCTACAGTCAGTGATCTAGGTCAGCGACCATCATAATGCATCAGAGAGAAAAATAAAAAAGCAGATCCTTCAGGCCAGCAATGAAAACTGGGCTGAGCATGCACTGTAGGGCTTATAAAAGAAGGAGCCGAAGATATGTAAAGCACATGCAAATTTGCCCCTATCAATGCATTCCCAGCCAGGCTCATTCTCTTTAATCTCTGGCCAAATGATCCTTGTGAAGGCCATGTCCTAGATATGAATGGGGAGCCATTCTAATTTCTGTCACTTTCTAGAATGTTATGTGAGGAGTCAGGAACACTCAGGAAGGCTCAGTTCTTGGGGCCCAGGTCGTCTACCATGACAGTTTATGTTTCTGGAACACATGGAGCTCCTCATGTGGGGTCCCAGTTTGGGGATCAACATACCAGATAGCCTTCCCAGGGCTGGGGCTACCTGCCTCACGCCCGGAGGCTAGTGCTACCTTCCCCTCTAATATCACTTCAGGATTCCACTGGGGAGATGCCATGCGGGCGAGTTCATAATCTGTGATGTGGGAACTGAGAGGCTAATCAAGTAATCTGCCCACCCCAAAAGAGCAAGAATTGGTGTTATTCCCATCTGATAGTACCCATCCCTGCAGGGAAGTCATAAAATCCACAGGAAAGATTCTTGCCTAGAGCACCAAGAGGAGGGGCTCTTCTGGGGCATGTGGGGCGTGTGTCGGTACCCCATGAAATCCTTCCTGCTAAGTTCTAGGTCTTTAGGGAGGAAGGACAGAGGTCAGCAGAGGCTTGACCTTTTGGACAATGTGCTGGGAGCCTGGGGTGGTGGCAGCTGACTCCGGAGAGAGTCTGATGCTGGCTTAGCTTTGAGATGCTACTGACTTGCTTGGGCAAATGGCCTGTCGCTCTCACGTACACCTCTGCCAGCCCAGCAGCTCCCTTCTGACTCCTATTCCCGATACAACGCCGGTGGACCATCCGCCTCGGCCCCTCTGTTCTCACCGTGTTGCTATGCAGGCTCTCAGAACTGATCTAATCCTGACTGCAAACAACTTGCGGACACTGGGCCTGAAGAGGACCCCACTCTGGCTGGTCTGAACCCAGGCTGGACCCGCAGGGCTCCTCAGCAATTCTACAAGCTCAAGTGAGGGGAGAGGGCCCCCCATCACAGAACCCCATTCATTCATGGGTAATAGGGCAAGGCCACCAGTCTGGGTCACCTGAGGAGCCAAAGGCAGTGCCAGGTGAGCCTCTTATAGATGATGAGCAGTCAGGATGAAGGCAAAAATGAGCGAGAAAAAAACAGAAGACTAGGAGTGAAGAGGGAGAAAGAAGGACAGTAGAGGAGAGAAGGAGGGAAAGATGACTGAGAAGGAGGTGGAGAGAAAGGAAGGGATGGAAGGCAGAGGGACTCAAGGTGGCCCACTACTGCCTCACAGTCTCTTGCCATCCTGGCCGACATCCTGCTTAAAGGGAGAAGAACCTTATTGTTGCAGTTACATCCTCTATTATCACTCCTTCTAGACTCTCACGTAGGGGCATCCCTCCATGCCCGGCCTCACCAACCTTAGCGAGCGTTTGCTGACCAGCTGGGGACAGACATGCCAGCAGCTTTGCAATCACCATGCCTGTCCCCCTGGCTGGGTCTGCTCAGACCCCAGTTGGAAGGATACTGTAGTGTCTTCATGTAGTTCTGGATTGCCTGGAGCCAGTCTGGGATAGTCATCGACAGCCTGTAGTTTGGAACCTGGGGTATTGAAGGCTGCAGAGGAGAGAGAGAGAGAGAGAGATCTTTTGATCAAGGAGATGCTCTGAGGGCCAGGGCCTGGGGGCAGGCACAGGGCTGAGACCGCTGGAAAGCTGGTCCTGAGAGCAGGTGGCCACCCTGGCATGGTCACCTGTTCAAGTGGTGCCTCCTGAAAGGTGTCCCCAGACCAGTCAGTCCCTTGCTAAAGGCTAAAGTTCTCCCTCTCTGCATTCCCTCTACACACACTCCACCTGGGTTATAGTGCTCTATATGGCCCTCTGTGTGTTATGTGAACACAGCTGGCCTTTCCATGGGATTCTCTGTACCTCCTTGAGGCCAAGGACCATATCCTATAATGTCCCCCACTGAGCCTGGCCCAGGTGTTCACAGAGGTGTTCCATTAATCCTCTCATTTTCGCCGCATGACTACACCTTTTGCTGTATGGTTGGTGTGACCCATTATGCACGCTCCACTCCAGGGCACCATTGACTACTAGATGAATGGTGCCCTGAAGAAACGCAACATAGCACCAGGGCTGCCATTTCTCCTCAACACCACCCCCCACAATGCCCATCGTGTCCCTCCCCCAAGTCTGGCCCCAAATAGATTAGGAAAGACTCCCCGCCGGCCTCGACTCTGGCCTTGACTCTTACCAGTGCCGCTCCTCTGACTCATGAGCCATCTCACCCTTTTACCCCTCGTGGCTGCCCAGTCAGTCAGCTCCTCATTTCCTCGCTTGCCTCTCAGTCTACACTCACCAAGTATCTACAACTGAGACGAGAAAGAAGCAGCCGCAGGTGAGGACAGCGAGGGGGAGGTAAGCGCCTCTCCTCAGGCACTCAGAGCTAAGACGCTGCGGAGCTCTGCCTGGTTGAACAAGGCCACGAGCAAGCACAAGCCAGTGCTCCCAACCCAGCCACTCCTGGGAAGCAAGGGGCGGTTTCTGCTTTATCCCCCCCATGTTTCTCAGTCTCTGCGTCGGCCTCTCTGGTGGAGCGGGGCTGTTGGGGACAGAGTCCCTGAGCTCACGTGGGCCTCCGGCCCCTGCAGTGCTGCTGTCAAGGACAGAGGAGGCTCCTCCAGGCTTAAGCCGCTTAGGGAGGAGCAGAAGGGGCCTCAGGGCAGATTAGTTCCATCCTGGGAGAAAACGGAAAGGGAGGCCCTGGGTATTTAGGGCTTAGTTGATGGACAGTGAAGCTGCTGGTGAACAGACGTGGGGCCGGCGCCGCTGGCTGGGCAGCAGAGCTCTCCCGGCTCCCAGGGCTCGGGCCCCACAGTGAATCTGGGGGGCACGCTGCCCCTGGGCCTGAAGCAGGGGGGCACTCCTCTACTTCTACACCCTAGGCTGCGTTTACTTCAAACGCTACTTATTCTGTTCCTCTCAGTGCTTCTACTCTCTCTTGGCTTTGAAACTTCCTACTTCACAGCAACCGCCTCTTCAACAAAAAATCATACTTCCTATTTCACAGCCAAGGTGCTGTGTGTGTGTGTGTGTGTGTGTGAGCGCGCGCGCGCGCGCGCGCGTGCACACGCATGCACACACACACAGCTGTTCTGTGAACTACACTTTCATTACAACATATCAACTCAAATCACTTTCATGTCTTGGAGAGTCATTTTGGGGAGCAAAATGTTCCGATTTGAACATTTGCTCGCATGCCGCACCCCCAGAGCCAACATATGAAGTGTCTCCTTGTTTTTCTGCCCTTTCTAACAAACTCTAGGAAGTGCCCAGCTTGCCCTTGGTTTTTTTTTTTTGGTGTTTTTTTTTTACAGTAACATCCACTGATCTACCCAAATCTGGAATTCTGTGTAGGAATGTGCCAGAGACTTCACAGAGAAGTGAGGAGAGAAAGAGAGATGTGAATAAACATCTCTTTAGCACCTCTTGTGTTCCAAGTTCTAGAGCAGACACAAAAGGGGGAGGGGGCACAGAGATAAGAGGAAGGCAGGAGGGAAATTACACTTTATTAAGGCATGAGCATAGTTCTACACAGAAGAGTGCTGTTGGTGCCTATTTAATAGGAAATCTGATAAGCATGGGAAAATGCCCCATCGGCTCATGGGCCACCTAAGGGATCTCCAGAGTGGTGTTCCTTGGCCACAAGCCGGAGGTGGCCGGAGTAACTGGGTTCAGAGTCGGCTATGGGGCTGACCACCAAATTATTTCAACTCCCCAAAGCCCAATAGAGCCCACAAGAGCCGGATGATGGGGTGGGAGTCGGGCAGCAGCTGGTCCTCAGAATAGCAGCCTAGTGGCGCCCAAAGGCTTTTAAAAACAGCTGCCTGGTTACCTCAGCCCCTGCTGAGAGTGAGTCTAGGAGCTGTGGCCACATTCCCCAAACCCCAGCTGGGGAGCAGAGCTGTGGTGGGGAGAGGAGCTGAGATTGCTGAGGAGATGATGTCATCCGGCTACAACTCACCCTGACATCTGGGATAGCTGACTGGGGCTCGGGCTCGGGCTCAGCTCCCAACCAGCCCCTCGGACTGCCAATGCCCCCACAGGACGATGGACTATTAACCAGGGGCGCTCCTTGGGGTGTGATTACGAGTCCGACACAAAGAGGTTCGGTTCTCTGCTCTGTCCCTGGTCAAGCTGCGTGACCTCTCTAAGCCTCTGTTTCCTTCCTGATAAAATAGGAGAATATCACCTACCTACAGCCTTCTGGGCTGGTGATGCGGATTATATGACCTAATGTATAAAGCGGGCAACCTGGGGCTTGGCACTCAGTGCTTTTTAAGTTGTTATTATTATTATTCATGTTACTATTCACCAGTAGTGTTTTTTCAGGGGTCTAGATGGGGAAGCCTGAAAGCGCTTCACTTTTTAGGAACTAGAAGGCAGAAATTAGCAGAGCCTGAGTCCCTGGGAACTTGGGAGCATCACACAGATGCCTTCTCACCCTAATAAAAGAAAACAAAAACATCCACTTCCCCCTGGGGACCATGAGTTAATCTCCTTAATTCATGAAGAATTCACAGAGTGGTAAGAAAACTCTTTCGGCCTCAAAGAAAAAAAAAATGGCCCCAAAAGGTGGAAGAAACCCAAGTGTCCATCAACAGATGAACGGATACACAAAATGGGGTGTATATACACACAACGAAATATTATTCAGCCATAAAAAGGAAGGAAGGACATTCTGACACATGGTACAACATGGATGAACCTTGAAGACCTTATACTAAGTTAAATAAGCCAGTCACAAAGTATAAATAGTGTATGATTCCTCTTATATGAGGTGCTTAGAGTAGTTCAATTCGTAGAGACAGAAAGTAGAAGGGTGGTTGCCAGGGACTGGGGGTTGGGAGGAATGGGGAGTGAGTGATTAATGGGTACAAAGTTTCAGTTCAGGAAGAAGAAAAGTTTCTGGGGATGGAAGGTGGTGATACTGCACAATCCATGGGAATGTACTTAATTCACAGAACTGTACACTTAAAAATGGTTAAAACGGTAAATTATGTTACGTATATTTTACCACATTTTTAAAAAATGGCCATGAAAAGACAATTCACAAAATAAGAAATGCAAAAGTGACGAAATATTTGCAAAAAATGTTCCAAGCTCACCAATAATTTAAGAAATGCAAATTAAAGCCACTGCAAAATGTCATTGTTCACCTTGCGAATTAGCAGAGGTATTCTGAAATGTGGATACTCAATGCTGGCGAGGAGGCTCTCTCATACAGTAGGATGGGAACACAAACTGGTACCTTCTTATGACAATTCCAGGGCATACTCCTTTTGTTTTCTCCCCGACGGTGGTCCTGAGTATACCTCTTCATGTTATTTTTCTGCCCTGTTTCACCTGAAACTCTAGACTAGACTTTCCACAGACCCTCCCCGGGGCACTGAGCAGGGGGTGGGAAAGTCGGAGGAGGGAGGGGAGTGGACAGGAAGATGGTGATTCAAGAAGAACAATGAAACAAACCACAGACAAGGCTTTTGTAGACAGGCTCTCACTCCAGGCTTGCCAAACACAATGACCTGTCAGAAGAATGCAAGGAGAAGGGATGTGGACCGACACAAGTGTGCATCATCGCCATGGCATCACCACGTGGGAGGGAAGGGGGAAAACAGAAAAGGAGCCGGGGAGGCAGGGAGCGCCCCTGGCACCAGGAATCTTTGACAAGAAAGAACAAGGAGAGAGCAAAGCCTTTTGCCGTCCCTGCTCTGAAAAATTCACTGGGCCGGCACCAGGCTGAAGAATGTCCTCCAGCAGCCTGGAGAGCATGGACCATCACTCAGGAGCCCAGGATGGGCCCGAGGCCCAGGTGTCCGTTGACAAGGGCCTGGTGCAGAGGCCCAGGGGTCACAACCTTGGGCAGAGCAGCAAGGAAGGATGAATTGGTTCTGAATGCAGGACAGGGGAGGGAAGGACCTGCCCCTTTGAGCCAGCAGGGGGCAGGAATGGAGTCCGGACTGCAGCAAAATCTCACCCCACAGCACTCACACTTCTCTCAGGCAAAGCTGAGTCCTCTAATGTGAATTACTTGGTGAGAATGAGTCACAAGAACGTGGGGTCGTTTTTTCTGGGCCAGCCACCTCACTTCCCATCCTCTGTCATCCTCCAACTGACTGGAGTTGCGTTCTTACACTATCCCGATAGCACCCTGGCCTTCACCTAATCGACCCAGTAACCATCAGGGGAGTGGCCTGAGGTCACAAATCTATAAGGAGGATCACAGAACTGGGGAACTCCCCACTCTGCCCCTAGGTGGGGGGTACCTGGCAGAACTGACCATGGCTGCCCACAGAATGTCCTGTAATCAAAGCTGAAGTGTCATTCAGTCCTCCTGTTAGGTCTGCGACAGCTTCCCTGTCCATTTCTTTGCCAAACTCAATTGCCAAAAAAAGGTAAATCTCCCTGAAACTCTCCAACCCTTCCACCCCAACTCCATCACCCCTCTTCAGTACAAATTCCTCAGTAAGACACGGATTTGGTTAAAGGAGCAAAGGACTTGGCCCCAGAGGGAAAAGTCTGCCAAGTAGAGTACAGGAATAGCCCTTGAATCAGAGTACCCCCTGGAAACAGGAGCTTTAGAAGCTGTCCCATCTGAGGGCCTGCATAGGGGTCAGGATTTAGGGGATGTTGGGACCAGGGATGGGGGATGCCATGACGGAGTTAGGGATAGAGAACCAACCATTACGACACAACGTAAGAGAAAGAGATGTTAAATTCTTAGGCTCAAAAAGCCAACGCCCATGTTCAGGCTGGCGTTGTCCAGGCTGGGTAGGAGTTTGCATGTGACCTTTGGGTTACTATGAAAGTACAAGGTGATGTGACTACTCTACAAAAAAAAAGGGACCACTCTTTTTTAAGAACACAGCATTCAGCCACAATAATGGAAGTACTCAGTACAGGTCTCAGGAAATAGTGCTCTGTGTTCTAAGCTGCTTAAACAACATTTAGAATATTGTGTTTCACATGAGCTAATTTTAGGGGGATAGACTGATGACAAGCTAGCAACTGTCCTAGAAAGAGGATGAGGAGAGTAAACTGATCTGGGAACTACGGCACATAAGAAAAAGTGAAAGGAGCTACCTGTGGACAAAGGAGGCTAAAGGAAGATGCGGATTGACAGAATGTTCACAGTTATGAGACTCATAATCCAGTGCACCACTCGTGTCACACAGACACCTCTAGTGTCACGCAGGTCAGCATTTGAGGCCTAGGAACTCAAGTGTCACAACATCATAGGATTTGAGAGTTGGTAAAGAACTTTTCATCAAGCCTGGTCTACTCCTAATTTATACATAAGAAAACTGAAACCAGAGATTTTTAAGTAAGTGACCTAAGTCACAAAGCTAGAGGGAGCACAACCAGGACTGGAATTGAGTCCTTTCCTTACTCCAAGAACCCCATCTCGAGACAACCAAGGGAGGTTGAGTAGCAAAGGAAGCTGTCATGTGCTCCCCTAGTGGGAAGGGTAACATGAGAATCAGCGGTGACATGTGACTACCAGGGCAGAAGGAGGGCTTCTGCTCAGTCTAAGAAAAGAGTTTCCCACCAATCAAATCTGGCCAGGCCTCGGACCAGCTGTCCTGTGAAGCAATGAACGCCCTGTTTCCAGGAGGACTTCAGAAAGAGGAAGGGATTCTCCTGAGAGGTGGGAGGCGGGTCTCTGCCAACACTAACATTCTCTAAGTCCCACCAAGAAGGGGGGTGCCCCCCCCAAGATCGGGAGAAGCATAAAGCTACAATTAGAAGCATGGTCCGTGCTGAGGGTATTGAGTAAGCAAGGCAGCACGGGACAGTGGGAACAGGCCTCCGTTCCCTGGAGCCACCTCTGTTGCAGGTTTAAGGGCTCCCATCTCCTCCATAAGTAACGAAAGGCTCACCCAAGTAAAGGCAAGTTCTGAAGTCAGAACCACGAGCCAGAACCAGTGATGCTCTGAACTCACGGAGGACTTACAGCAGACACTAAAGCAGCCAAGACTCTCGTTTGGTACAATACAGATCTCCTTGACAAGCAGAGTAATAAAACACTGTAACTGCAGCAGGATGCTTACAGGCTGTCATTTCCCCCAAGGGCGCACACAGCTCTGTGGCCTGTAGGGCTCAGATGTTTGGGTCACCAGATGCTCCAGGTTGGGGCCTCAACCAGATAGATGGCCTTCCAGGTCTCAGGCCTGGCATTCCTAGACGTGCCCAGGAATCTTCTCAGCCATGCCAATGTCCCCTAGGGTGCAGGGGACACCATCTGCCATACGACAACCCCCTCAGGTTCTGCAGCATTTCTCCCTCACTTTGCATTTTCATGTTTCATATAACGACCCCTGCACATCTCCCTTCCTCTGTTTTGCTAAGTTATCCTTGGCCACCAAACCCAGGCAGCTTGCTGGCTCCTCTCCAAGATAGAAAGCCTCCTTCTCTATCCAGTGAGACTAATTCATCATGTGTACTGGAAAGTCCCTTTCAAGACACAGCCAAAACTCTTCTTTTTTTTTTTTTTTTCTTCTTGGAACCCAGATAAGCTGGGAAAAGAGATAGTTCACTGTTTCTCAAGTTTTAGAGGTGAAAGTCACTGTCATTTAAAAAAAAATTGGCAGAAAGTCTAGAAATGATTCACGCTGAGAAGTCTGACTGGTTGAGTGCAAATTCATTCACAGCCTAATAAATCATTTGCAAGGGGGAGAGAGGGGAAGGACCAAGAGACTCCAAAGAGGGGAAGCAGGATGGGGTCCCGAGGGGACCTGTGCATTCTTGGCATCGCTGGTGCTACCTGGGGACTACAGCTCTTGCTGAAGGTGGATGAACATGGGGGTAAGTAAACAGATAATAGAGTTTGGATGGAGATTCAAAGAATCCTTGGCAAAACGCAACCATACAGTCCCAGGACAGCAAGCACCCCCCACCAAAACCCCCCAAGGCTTCCAAGACAAACGTCTCAATTAAGCAAAAGGGAAGGGACTGTGGGGAAGACTGGGGAGAAGGGAGTTTGTAGCAGGACCAGAAGCATGGAAATTACCTCTATTTGTTCTGTACAGGCTGAAACCGTCCCATCACCGCCCACCCCACCCACCTCCTTGAAAGCCACTGACCTTTGCCAAGAAAGCGGCGTTCCTGATGGCGCCCACCATTTCTCCCCCCTTGGGGTGCACCTTGGCCACGTGCATCCACATGCGTTCCCAGGTGTGGCTGTCGATGGGGAAGCCGCTCTTGTTAACGTGAAACAGCACCCCGCCGTCTTTGTCCTCCTCCTCCGAGCCCCCGCTGGTGGCGAGGCTCACAGGCCGCGCGTGGCTGCTCCGGGACCGGGTGCCTTTGGCGCCTTTGGGGTGGGGGCAGCGGTGAGTGCCGGCCGCAGAGCCGGTCATGATGGGGCCGGGGCCGGGAGGGCGGGGCGGGGGGCGCGCGGCG